GAAGAAGAAGAAGAAGAAGAAGAAGAAGAAGAAGAAGAAGAAGAAGAAGAAGAAGAAGAAGAAGAAGAAATAAGAAATTTTTAAAAATTGAGAATATAGAAAGGGCTGAGTAGTTAAGATCACTTCCTGTTCTTGAAGAGGACCAGAGTTCAATTCCCACCACTCACATTTGGCAACTCAAACCCTGTAACTGCAGTGCCAGGGAACTCCACTCCCTCTGCTCAGATCTGTTGCAGGATATTTGATGACATCATGACAGCCCGATGATGAGGTACCACCTTCAGCCAATGACCTTTAAGAGGCTGGATCAGGTTGGGGCATGATCTTTTGGGTGCCCAGAGAAAACAACCGGCCCACCCAGTTCTTTCTCTCTCTCTCTCTCTCTCTCTCTCTCTCTCTCTCTCTCTCTCTCTCTCTTATTCTTTCATTACACATCTTGAAGTTGGACTTCTCGTTTCTGTTCCATTTATTGCAAGTTTTCCCCTTACAATAAAAAATAATAACTAAAATCTTTTGGAGTTAACTTGGGGTTTTTAGACTTGCATCCTCACCCTCTTTTGCGCATTCAGCTACACCCTGAGACTGTTAACAAAGTTACCTTGAATCAGGGACCAAAATCAGCAACCAGCTAACTGGAAATAGTCATAGAGATTTTGGAGGACCCAGAAAACGATAGAGAGGCACAGAAAGGAGGAGAAAGGGCCTTAGAAAGATTCTCAGTCTTTTCAGTCTGGGAAGCGTGGAAGCTCTCCACACTTAGCTGGTCTTACCTCTACTGTTTTCTAGATCTATCAGGTTTTTAGCTCAATATCTGACTCCCAGGTTTTTACTGATAATAGAATATTTTAGATAAACGCATCACAGGTCTGGTCTCTGAGAACACCCACACATGTGGCATATACTCACACAGACAAGTGCTCATACACTTAAGTAAAACATAGAAAAATAAAAACAAACCTCTAAGCAAATCCCAACACACACACACACACACACACACACACACACACACACACCAATCAGTGCTCAAGATATCACCCAGTGTCTCAGTTGACTTCCTCTTGCCTGCAAGATGTAACACTCTCAGCTCCAGCATCACTCAGCTCCAGCACCACGGCTGCCTGCATGCTGCTATGCTCCCTCTCATGATGAGAGTGGATTGAACCTCTGAAACTGTAATCAAGCCGCCCCAATCAAATGTTTTCTTTATAAGAGTCGCCATGGTCATAGTGTCTCTTCACAGCAATGAAAGCTGTAACTAAGACAGGTGATGTGGGATTTCACTCTGTATGTTGTGAATATGTTTCATTATCATTTTTGGTTGATAAAGAAGCTGCTTTGGGCCTATGACAGCACAGAGTAGAGCAAGGCAGAAATTCCAAGCAGAGATAGAGGGAAAAAAAGGCAGAGTGAGGGAGACGCCATGTAGCCACCAAAGGAGACAGACGCCCACATGCTGGAACCTTGCCAGTAAACCATGAGCCTCGTGGTAAAAATATAATATAATATAATATAATAGAAATGGGTTAATTAAAGATGTAAGAGTTAGTTTATAAAAAACCTAAGCTATTGGCCAAGCAGTGTTGTAATTAATATAGTTTCTGTGTGATTATTTCAGGTCTGGGCAGCAGGGAAATGAACAATCAACCTCCATTTACAGACAGGTGGTATCCTTACTTCAGTATATCGTTGGATTCCTAACCACAGTGAGTGGACATTAAAGGATCCAAGAATAAGAATATAAAAATGTAGATTCCATAAATAGGAATGTATAAATAAAAAAATATAAAGTTGTAAGCCTAGGAGAGTGAGAACAGACGTCAGCAGCTTTCTCAGTAGCTTAAGGATTAACTATTAACAGCGGGTTACTCCACTTTACTACCTGTAGCTCTAATCACAAGGCTGAAGCATATCTCTGCAAACTGAGAGCTAGCACGGATATGAGCTGAGTCAACTTTTAGGAGATAGATACATGACCTCTGGTTTATGCATTATCCCTGCTATGTGAAACTGGCAGCCTCAAAGGGGAGAGCACAGGGCTTCAGTAAACACCACCTGGAAGCACCAAGGAAGACAATAGATTAAGTGCAAACACTAGTTTAACTGAAAAACTCTGTTAATGGAGATTGTAAAGCAAGACAATCTGTATCTGAGTTTTACCTTGAGATTGTAAAAATTCCTTTGTTCAGACCTAATGCTTGGTGCCCCTACTGTAAAAAAGTGGGTTCAGAAACTGGCCTTTGCTACAACCTTACAAAATCCATCTCTGGCTGTGGTCTCAGCTAGCTGATAAGCTTTTTGTGCCCCATGGAGATTTTTTATTTTATTTTATTACTTTTTCCTGGATTCTGGCTTCTGGAATTAAGTTTGTTTCTGCTTTATTTAGACTTTGGTGGTCTGTCCCCATCTTTGCACGACCCCCCTGGACCCAACAGACATTTATTCATGTCTCCTCAGGAAACAGAGGTCTAAGGGAAGCTGAGGGAATGAAAGAGCCAAGTCTGCCAGGCCTGTCCTGCTGTAACTCCAGCCCACAATCTCTCTCTTCAGTCTTATTTTTCACACCTACTTAGTGCTAGGGGAGACATATATTTCTTCTTGGCTACCTTTTCAAAAAGATATATTTTATTTTTAATCGTGTGTGTGTGGTATGTGCATAAGTGTTATGTGTATGTATGCATATGGGTGTATGTGTGTGTGGTGTGTGTATGTGTGTGTATGTGTGTATATGTGTATGTGTAATATGTGTGTTTATACACCATGTTCATGCATGTGCCAGAGACGTGTTGGATCACTTGCTGCTCGAGTTACCGGTTGTGAGCCATCTGATGGGGAACTGGGAACCAAACTTGGGTCCTCTGCAAAAGCAGCACCCGCTCTCAACCCCCACCACTGTTTCTAGTAGACCTGGGCTGACTGTTTATTAAGATCTCTGGGAGCTCATCTGTGCTTCCTGAGTTCTGCTTCTGTGAGGACCTGACTTTGCAATCTCCATTTTAAAGTAGGACTTCATCTTAAGCCATATAATGGGGGGGGGATCTCAGTTCCAGGGATGCACTGCGATAGTGGAATTTGAACAAATACCCTGAAAATGGTCAATTAAGGAGACAGGGAGCAGGGCCATAAAATTTAACAAAATCCAAATGTTCCTAGGAGGCATCCTGTCCTTGAAGATACCTTGTCTGTTATTAATGGGTCTTTGTTAAGGTTTTCTCACCCAAAAACTGACCAATTGTTTCCGAAACTACCTTACCCTCTGCCCTCCTTACCCAATCCCAAGACAACAGGACATGACCCTGATTATGGCATTTCAAAGTCCTACCCTTCCCTGGGCTGGGGCTGCACGTCCCTCACCCTCTGTGTTGGCGTGTTAGAGGTGTGATCCAAACTCGAGTTTGAATGTTAAGAACCCTCTTGTGCTTTCCATCGGAATCCAGTTCCATGGAGTTCTTTCTGGGGATAACACTTCCTATGCTGGCATCAGGTAGAGTGAATACCAAAAAGCAGTGTTTGTGTTGATCACTGATTAGTGATGTCTGCCACTGTGAACTCCAAAGAGAACACTTGTATTGATTAATGATGTCTGCTAGAAGCAAAAACTAGAAGGCAGGGGCTCTACAATTCTGCTTTTGTTTCCTAATCTGCAGCCGTGTGCCATCATTCTCTGTCCCCACAGGGAGATCAGAACTCTGGCAAGTTTGGGGCCTGCTCATGGTCTGCTGCTGCGGTGACACTGAAGGATTTCCCAATCTGGATTCATTCCAATAGTGACTCGCTGGGTGCCTAGGTCCCCGGATCCATGCTCCACACCTGTGGCTGTGTGGAGTTTGCACACAGGACTCTCAGAGCCCAGCCCTATCCTTGTCTCCCGGTTCTCCCAGCCCCTCCTCTGTCTAGTTCTCAGCCTCTCTTTCTCACCATCCAATCTCTCTTCTCAAGTTTCTCTCTCACTTTCTCTCTCTCTTTCCCTCCTTTTCTCCCTCCCTCCCTCTCTCTCCTCATCATGAGAAATTTTTCTTTAAATTCTAGTCTTCTAAAAAAAATATTTTAAATTATGTGTATGGGTGGGGTGTGTGTGTGTGTGTGTGTGTGTGTGTGTGTGTGTGTGTGTGTATGGGTGTGTACACTTAAGTGCCTTCCCTCAGAAGGCCAAATATGGGCATCATAGCCTCCTGAAGTTGGAGTTAAAGGGGACTGTGAGCCACCTGACCTGGGTGCTGGGAACAGAACTTGTGACCTCTGGAAGAGCAGGGAGTGATTTTTAAGGGCTGGGTTGCAATTTTTTTTTCTAAGTCAAATTCTTGGGTACCCCCAACCAGCCTTGAACTTGCTGCAGAGCCAAGACTGACCTTGAACTCCTGATGCTCTTGCCTCCACCTTGCAAGTGCTAGGATAGTGAGCCGGAGTCACAGTCTCTTGGGGGGGAGGGTGCAGGCTAGGCAAGCACTCTACATCCGCAGCCTCTGCATGGAACTACCTTGTTCCCTACTGCTCCAAAGATGCCTTGGATGGAATTGCAGTTCATTAAGGTAAACACAGAGTCACCCGGGTTTCAAAAGGTTTACCATAAACCTTTTCCCTGTACACGGAGTTTCTAGAGAGATCCTGAGAATTTCACAGGTGTCCTGGGAACAGCAAACTTCGCCTGCCTTTCCAGCCTGCCTCGGGAAGAGTTAGAACAGGGCGGCTGTTGAAACCCACCAGGGGTCTTGGAAGGCTTCCCAGAGAAAGAGCTCTGACCACCACAAGCAACCACTAACAGAAGCGGAGATTCCACAGAGGAGCACCAGGGAAGGGCGGGGTGGGCATCACCCAGGCCTCAGTCTCTAGAGAGGAAACAACGGAACAGCTGGCTGCTGGGAGGCCCTGGTTTGTCATCATCAAGGGTGTAGTCCTTAAAGAGAGTGTTTCATTTCCTTCTCTGGGCTTTCAAAAGAAGGGAAGTGGGGGAACTGTCACTTCCAACTGTCACTTGGAAGGAATGTGGAGGAGGGAGTGGGTTCTTCGGAACCGACCGCCTTTGGGGAGGATGGCCAACAGAACTGTTCATCTCCCTCTGAATTCTAGAACTTTCCTGCTCAGCTGCAGAAAAGAAGACAAAAGCTTTGTCCTGAATCTGCCACCCCGCCTCCCGACAGTGTTGAAGAGAGAGATGGGATTGTCACAGCTGTGTCCACACTGGAAAAATGAGAGTTGGCAGCAAGAAGGTCCCTTGCACTGAGTGGCCTTCTTCCTTCCTTCCTTCCTTCCTTCCATTGTTCCATTCTGGGACTGGTTCTTAAGTAGACAAGGCTCAGGATAGCCTTGAACTCCTGATCCTCCTGCCTCCACTTCCCAAGTGCTGGATTTCCTCACCAAGTGCATTAGGTGCTGTGGATGACATCCATGACTTTGTGCACACAAAGCGCACACTTGGCAAGCACTCTAGGACTAAGTTACGACCCCAGCCTCCGTGGGACTCTCTGTAGAGCCTACAGAAGCCGATCCTAAAGAGGAGTGTCCAGCAAGGTGACCCAGGGTGAGTGACAGTGGGATCGGGGCATGGGTTTTACCCTACCACCCAGCCCAGCCCGAAGAGTTCCTTCAGACCTCCACTAAGGAGAAGCCAGGAGTTTTCTTTCTTCTTTGTGTTTGTGTGTTTTGTTTTTTTGAGACAGGTCTCATGTAGTTCAGGCTAGTCTTGAACTCCCTTTGTAGCCTGTGCCACCACACCCAAGTGAAGTAATAAAGCTGGATTTTTATTTACTTACTTTAATTAATTGATTGATTGATTGATGATTGGCTTTTTGAGACAGGGTTTCTCTCTGTGTAGCCCTGGTTGTCCTGGAACTCACGCTGTAGATCAGGCTGGTCTTAAACTCAGAGATTCCTGTGTCTGCCTCCCAAGTGCTTTGCATGTGTAGGTTCATATGTATATACATGTTTACATGTCCCTGGCATGCATGTAGAAGCTCATCATTGACACTGGAGTCTCCCTTGTTCCCTCCCCACCTTTGTTTTTGAAGCAAGGTCTCTCTTTTAAGTCTGAACTCAGCAGCCCCACCAGACTCCGTAGCCAGCTTGTTCTGGGAATATGCCTTCTGAATGCTGGGATTACAGGCCTGCTCCCACCAGTAGGTTCTGGGGCTCCAAACTCCAGTCCCTGTGCCATCCTGCTGGCTCTAGAAAAGATTTCTAACATATTTAACATGGGCATTAAGAGAAAGAGAGGGGGAGAGACTCAGGAAAAAGATCGTACATGCCCAAGGTAGAGGAGCAGGCACACGAGAAAAGGTTGAGTGAGGGGCTCAACATTTACGTGACGTCTAAAACACTTTTATTATTTATTTTGTGCTTGTGCACATGTGTGCAGGTGCCTTGCAGTGGCCAGAGGTGTCAGATCCTCTGGAGCTGGGTCGCCTGACCTGGGTGTTAGGAGCTCAACTGGGATCCTGTGGAAGAGCAGGAGGCTCTTAACTGTTGGGCCACGGCGCCAACCCCCATTATATATATACATGGTTAAGGTGGCTTCTGAAATTACATGGTTTAAAAGGCGTTTTGGTTTGGGTTAGGTTTAGGTTTTTTAAATTACAATTTAGTGTGTGTGTGTGTATGTGTGTGTGTATGTGTGTGTGTGTGCGCACACACACATACACACACACACAGAGACACATGTGGAGGTCAGAGGACAGTTTTCAAGGCTCAGTTCTCTCCTTCCACCTGGTGGGTCTCGGGGGTCGGACTCAGATTATCGGGCTTGGCAACAAGTGCCTTTACCCACCTAGTCATCTCACTGGCTTTGGTTTTGGCTTTTGGGTCAAGGGCTCGTGTAGGTCAGATTGGTGTAGCAAAGCACTGGCTCACTGTGGGGTTTGAATGAGAATGCCTCCCACAGCCAGGCTCCTGGGTTTGAGTGCTTGGTCCCCAGTCGAGGAACTGTACGAGAAGTGGTGTGCACCACATTGCTGCTTGACAGGGTTCCAGCATTCTGACATTGTGGATCATGACCTGTCGCGTGTAACTCGGCGCGGGTGTGTGGGTTCACGCGGGTCCGTGAAATAAAGACTCAGAGACACAATGAGAATGAACTTAGCCTCTCCGTGAACTGAAAGGCCTTCCCTTTGACTCTTGGCCTTTTTGGTTTTTTTCCTGTATTTACACTTTAGCTAATAGAGTTCCATATCTCAAAAGAAACGGATAGAAGTTTCCAACAATACAATGCCAGGTACTAATACCTGATTCATGAGGTACCAGAGTTTGGTTTTCCGGGTTTCCTCTAAACCAAGTTTTGCATAGCTTTGTATCCATGGGGAACTCTCAGTCAGGATTCCCACAGGATGACGAAGGTACCAACACACAAAGGACGGACTAGGAGCCGAACGAAAACTCCAGACTACACCAGGCACAGCCCAGCGGGTTTCACGGCTGGTGGAGGTTGCTTGCCCTCCCTCTGGCACCAGGCCAGAGAGACATTATACCATGGCAACCCACCAGGCCAGAGAGACATTGTACCGCGACAACCTCCACCACCTTTTTACTTTCATTTTTAATGATCCTCATTGTGTGTTACGGGAATTTCCTTAAGCCTCTTCCTTTGGGAAATTTGTTCGGGGTTTGGTATAGGGTGGAAATGTATTCAGTGGCAGTCTCTTTAAACGAAATAATTCTTTGGAAAAAACAAACCTGGCACCATGGAACTATGGAGCATGATAACTCTACTTACTCCCCATACAGGACTCCCCATTGTACCAGGAACAGGGAAATTTTCCTAACTGGGCATACCTGGTCCCAGGAATGAAACAATGCACCCAGAGCCGGAGCCTGAGTTCCTTTAGGACAAGAATTCAGTTAATGAGCGTAGAATAGTGCCTTGCCGAGGATTAGTGGCTTACTGGATGAATGGTAAATTCTGGTCTGCCCCACGGGGGACAGATTGTGTTGAGAAACTACACTGGCTTGATCCCCCTCTGCCATATACAGGAGCACACACTGAGGAAATCACTTTGGTGTGGTATAGAAAAAGAACAGGTTCTCAGGACCTTCCCTTTGGTGAGCTTATGATGGGGACAGGCCCATATTATAAGGTTAAGGCACAAAGGAATGCAGTTCAGGGACAGCTTGTGCTGCATGGCACAAACACCATGCCATGCCCACGAAGAACACAAGCTGCTCCTCTGGGTTTATCGCCCACATCTGACGCCTCCTGGCCACAGAGGCTGAGCCAGTGCAGCAGGAAGTGTAGGAGGGCACCTGGCGGGGTTACTGAGCCTTAGAGGACAAGAGGCATTTAGATTCTTGCTAGATTTACTAGTTTTTGCTTCAAGAAAAATGCTGTAATGACTTTGATGACCGCTTTCACCCCAGGATTATTAATAAGTCTGCTTTCAATATTGCTTGTGGTTCAACTATGATGCAATTATAGAGTATGTAAGGTGTGGCCTATTTTCAGTAAACAGGCAGCCATCCTGAGTCTCCTTCCCTGGACACTGACTCCACACTTGCTCTTTGGGATCTGAACCCCTCTGGAGCTGAACTCCTGGCAGGGAAGGATTAGGAGGTGTGACCTTGTGGGAGGAGGTATGTTACTAAGGGTGGGCTTTAAGGTTCCAAAAGCCCAGACGAGGCCTCGCGCGCGTGCGTGCGTGCGTGCGTGCATGCGTGCGTGCGTGCGTGTGTGTGTGTGTGTGTGTGTGTGTGTGTGCTCCCTGTGGATGTAAAGCTCTCAGCTCCTGCTCCAGTCCCTTGTCTGTCTGCTCCCACCATGATGATCATGGACTCAGCCTCTAAAGCTGCAAGCAAGCCCCTAATTAAATGCTTTCTCTTGTACCAGCTGCCTTGTGCCTTGTCATAGTGTCTCTGCTCAAACTAAGACACCTTGAATCCCTCCCTATCCTGAGTGCCAGGGTCATAAACCTCCACTTCCAGACTCCAAACTTGGAGGTTGTTTTTTGGTCTTTTTGTTTTATTTTATTTTTGGTGTGTGAGATCACAGGATTGTTCCATGTAGAGCGGGTTTGAAGGATGACTCATGAGAAACAACCCTGAGTCATAATGATCAAAATAATCGTTCCCAGCCTAGCCTGTGGTTTCCTAACTTATCAGCTGGGTTATTAACCAAGCTCTGTATCTGGTTGGTGAGATGCTGGGGCTCTTACAGGTTCAAGGGGCGAGGATGGAGAAATGGTTCGGCTCGGAGGTCAGGAGCAGGTCCTGGGCCTGCAGATGTCTTGGGCTTGGTTCTCAGCACTCACACTGGATGGCTCATAGTCACCTGTGCTCCAGCTCCAGGGGGTCAGATGGCTTCTTTTAGCCTTTTTGGGCCACTGCACACAAATGCATGCACACACACACACATATTCGAATAAGTAAACTTCTGAAAAAAATTAAAGCAAGGGTCTTACATGCTTGAGTGTTGTGGACTATTATCTTAAGATGTGTTACATTTGTTTATGATGTAGAATATTTAATGATGCAAAGATGTGATACATTCTTTTATGTTGCATTTGTTCAACTCTGTGAAGTTGTGTTACTTTGCCTGTCTAAAACACCTCATGGTGTTATACCCAAATCTGCAGGGTCCCTAGAGAAGTCAGCAAAGGAGACCGAGTCCCATATGTAAAAGCAAAGAGCCTTTATTTTTTTAATCAAGTTTGCAAACTCGTTCTCTCCGCGTGTCCAACATATTGGAATAACCGGAGAGCCCCGAGCTCAATTAGAATTGGGTTTTTATAGTAGTAAAGGTGGGGGTGAGGAGTCTCTGAGGTTCAGGACCCCTGATTGGCTGACATTTGTCTAGGGGTGCCCTGTGTAAAGTACTGGCAGGAATTTCCTTTGAAAGGTCTGTTCTTGGGTAGGGGTTGGGTAATCTTGGCCTGCCAGGCATTGTCTCAGGGTAAACTATTGAGACCCTAAACTCCATTAAAATTTATCGGTGGCCAGAGTCCCAGGTGATAATGGTTGAAGTAAAGAACTTCCTTTCTGCCCAGACTTAGATTATCATGGCTGGCCCTCACAATGGTCTGATAATAGCAAGGCAGGAGAAAGAATAGGTGGAACTGGCAGGCAGAGAGAATAAATAGGAGGAGAAGTCTGGGAAGAGGGGAATCCAGGAATGAGAAAAGAAGGAGAGAGGATGCCACGGGCCAGCCACTCAGCTACACAGCAAGTCACAGAGTAAGAAGTAAAGAAAGGTATAGAGAATAGATAAAGATAAAAGTCCAGAGGCAAAAGGTAGGCAGGGTAATTTAAGAAAAACGGACTAGAAACAAACCAAGCTAAGGCCGGCATTATAAAAATAAGCCCAGATGTGATTTATTTGAGAACTGGGTGGCGGGCCCCTCAAAGAGCAAAGTGCAAAGAACCAAAGAGTAAAACAACCAACACTTTGGTGTTCTAGCACTGCCCTCTATTTCCGTGTAGGGCCTGAGAAAGTGGGGGGAGGGGGGAAGAAAGGTCAGGGCTCCTTTAAGAGGCTCAGCCGGCAGCCTGTGGCAGCTCAGGTACTGACATTCCACAGCTGGGAAGGTTATGTGCAGTTCC